ACCATTCAGACATATAGGCTATGTCTACACGGCAGGCTTTTTGTGCAAGAATAGCCAGTCTTGTGCAAAAACTTGTGGAGGGTCTACACTGCATGTGCGTTCTTGCGCAAGTAAATTTACAGTAAGGAGTCGGAACAGAGGGCTTCTTGCGCAAGAGTTATTCCTCTCCCCACAAGGAATAAGTCCTTTTGCGCAAGAAGGTAGTGTGGATGGGCAACAGGGGATTCTTGCGCAAGAAACCCCTATGGCTAAAATGGCCATTAGAACTTTCTTGCGCAAGACAGCGTCCACACTGCCATGGACGCTCTTGCGTAAAAGCACATCCCTTGCACAAAAGCACATGGCAGTGTGGACACGCTCTTGCACAAGACCTTTTGCACAAGAACTCTTGCGCAAAACAGTGAAAAAAACAGGCCCAGCACCAATAACATTGCAATCAGGATAATGACAAGATGTTAAAAGGTGGATGACGTAAGCTAAGAAGGTGTGTGCAGGTGAAGCAGTTAACAGTAAAATATGCATCTTTTGCACAATAAGCAGAAGTCTCAGGGGGTATGTCTACACTAGAAAGTTAGTTCGAACTAACGGACGTTAGTTCGAACTAACTTTCCTATGCGCTACACTAGCGCTCCGTTAGTTCGAACTTAATTCGAACTAACGGAGCGCTTAGTTCGAACTAGGTAAACCTCATTTTACGAGGACTAACGCCTAGTTCGAACTAGCTAGTTCGAACTAAGGGCTGTGTAGCCCTTTAGTTCGAACTAGTGGGAGGCTAAGGCTTCCCAGGTTTCCCTGGTGGCCACTCTGGCCAACACCAGGGAAACTCTATGCCCCCCTCCCGGCCCCGGACCCCTTAAAGGGGCACGGGCTGGCTACGGTGCCCGTGCCAGGTGCAAGCCTCCCCTGGTGGCCACTCTGGCCAACACCAGGGAAACTCTATTGCCCCCCTCCCGGCCCCGGAGCCCTTAAAGGGCCACGGGCTGGCTACTCACTTTGTGCCAGT